CCCCTCCCTCTTCAGCCCAAAGAGCAATCAGGGCTCTCCGTCCCGTGGGAAGTCCGAGGAAAACCCTCCTCCATCCAGGTCTCGTAAGGTGAGCATCCAAACTGCCTAGGCTCCCACAAAGCCACTACATGCAGTAGGATCAAAGACCCATTGCCACTGTTCTTGATGTCTCAGTAGTCCTCATTGTCCGCTATGTTCAGTGAGACCGGTTTTAACCCAGGCTTCCAGCCAATCTTTCATTTTCATTAGTGAGACCCTAGAGGAGAGAAAGAGAGAGAGAGAGAGAGAGAGAGAGAGAGAGAGAGAGAGAGAGAGAGAGAGAGATTCATTCCTATCAGGACTTAGCACTGTGATTTTGGTTTGTAGAATAGTTTTACCAAGTTCTAAAATAATCTACAGAGTGTCAGGTAAGATCCTATAGTAAAAAAAAAATTACATCTAATGGGACTAAAATATAATAAGATTTTGGGGAAAGAACATAAAGATGTCTTAATTTTCTAAATGTTACAAAAGTAAATTATGTGACCACATTACTAAGGTCTAGTGGCAGTGAAGACTATTCTTCATTATCTCTAGCTCCTGGTATTCATGACCTTGTACAGTTCCTCTTGCCTAGTGAGTCGGTGGAATGTGGTAGAGCTGACAGTGAGTCACTTCTGTGGCTAGGGTATAGAAATATCATTAACCCCACCTCTCTCTCTCTCTCTCTCTCTCTCTCTCTCTCTCTCTCTCTCTCTCTCCATTTACTTTGCAGAAACCCAGCTCCCATGTTATAGGAACACTCAAAAGAAGTATGAAGAAAGAAATGATCCCTCTAGCCTATGATCATGTGAAACTATTTTAAAATGGATGTTCGAGCCCTGGTCAGGCCTTCAGATGACTGCGGCTCTGAGAGGTCGCTTTGTAAACTCCCGAGATAGCCCAGTACAGACCACCTGATTCTCAGACATGGCGTAAGAAGAGCAAGCTTGTTGTTTAAAACTGCTGTGTTTAGAGCAACTTGTTATGAAGAAATTGGATATCGTGGCCTGCGGATGTCGCTCAGTTGGTAGGGTGCTTGCCAAACAAGCGCAAAGTTCTGGGTCCAATCCCTACCATCATATAAACTGGGCCTGGTGGTAAAAGCCTATAATCCCAGCACTTGGGAGGTGGAGACACAAGGATCAGAAGTTTAAGGTCTCCTTGGCTACTTAGCAAGTTTGAGACCAACCCCTTTCTCTCCCTCTCTCTGAAAAAGAAAAAGAAAGTGAGAAAAGAAACCATGGGGCTCGTGACACCTGAGTTCAAATCCTAGAACTCCCTGCAGAAGGAGACCCTGAGCCCTGAAAGTTTTCCTCTGACCTTCCCACACGTGCTGGGGCACATGAGTATGGGCATTCAGACAAATGCATATCACATGCACATTCACAAATAATAATAATAAGTAGGTTAGATTTAAAAAGGAAGTTGGTAATTAATGCAGACTCTGGGTAGAACCTTGTGAGACCTACACTAGAGAGGCCTAACTCAGCATCAGTCAGAACATCATTATGGTAATTGACCTCTGCCTAGGTTAATAGCTGAGACTCCTAGGTAGTCATAGCAGAAACGACTAATTGTTTTTAATCAAAATTTGTCATCAAACTTTGATTGTGTCTCTATCAGAAGGTCATGCCCATGTGTCCACTTTCTGTTACTGAAAGAAATGCCTGAGATTATCCGCTTAGGGAAGGTTTGTTTGGGTTCATGATTTCAGAGGTTTGACTCCATGATTCATTGGCCCTGTTGCTCTAGGTTTGTGGTAAAATATCAAGGCTGAAGCCTGTGGTGGAGCAAGACTAGTTCCCTAAAGCATGGACAGAATAGACAGAGAAGAGAAAACTGCGTATTAAGATTCCAGATGAGGCCTGGGATTCAATCCCTGGTACCCCAGTCTAAGAAGAGAGAGACCCAGAATCGCCTCTGAGCGCATCCTCCCACGATCCGGCCTCTGACAGTTCTACTACCTCTGAGGTGTGCCAAGCTGTGAACCAAGCCTTTAGCGCGTGAGCCTTTGACGGACCCAGATGGGAACTGCAGCACTGGTCGGGCCTTGAGGTTCCAAACCTTCCTTTGCATCCTATAAAATGATGCTGGGTGCCAGGCAAGCTGAGATTCCCAGCGGCCAGTATGAAAACAATGGGAAGCCATAGATGGGACATGAGCTGGCATTATGATCTTGGCTTAGCTACTTGTGTGCCCTTTGACCATTAATTTAATCACTCAAATCTTTATATCTTCTCCTTTACAAAGGAGATAGTCCCTATTCTGTGTGCTTCATTGGGTCAGTAGAACAATAGAAGCAGTGAAGGTTTTTAAAACATTAAATACTGGGCTGAGAATGTAGGTCAGCTGAGGGCTTACCTAGCATGCACAAGGCATTAGGTTTGATCCCCAGCACCTCCTCAGACTAGGTGTGGTGGCTCACCCTGGAAGCGGAGGCAGAAGTATCAGGAATTCGAGGTCATTCTCATCTATATAGAGAATTTAAGACCAACCAGGGGTACATCTCAACTAAACATTATATAATTACCAGTTTTTAACATGGAAGGGATTTTAACATGTGACTTAATTCTTATTTAATGCTTGCCTCTAGAGTATTGTTTGAGATCACTGAAACATTCAGGATTATTAAAAATCAGTACTAATAGCAGGAACAATTTTTTCTCAGGTCTTTTTCGAATGTGAATCACCATCCGTGATGGAAAATTGGCTTTGCAGGGTGTATATTCCTAAACACATTTCATTTGAGAAGATCAGACAGCACTATAGTTCTGGAAGGAAAGGAGAAATAGATTCCTACCTAAATTTTGCCCTGAGTAACTTAGCTTCCCTCCCCTCCTGACTGGCCAGATTTGATCTAGATGGCTGGGTGACCTGCGGTAGCAAGAGGAAGCCAGCCCTGCGTTTTCAGACTTCAGTGCCTCCCCTCAAACAGAATGCGTCTTTCTGGATTCCTGAGCTCAAGACCAACTGAACTGGACCGTCAGGAACGTGACAGTCGCCAGGGAGAGGCAGAGCAGTCTGTCCCACTTCCTGCAGGCTCTCTGAGCTTGCTGTGCCTGCTCAGCAGCCGTGAACTTGCACCCTGGCGATCTTCGCCCCATCCCAGCCCCAAGCTCACCTCTTAACTCTGTGTTCTCCATCTTCTCTGCTCATTTACGACATTTCAGCACCATCATCGTAGAAGGTTTATTTTCCTTTTAAGGAAATGTACAATAAATAACATGGAAAACAGCTGTTTATTTTTTGTACACACACACACACATACACATACATACACACACACACATACACACACACACACAGAGTCAGAGAGACACGGAGAGTGATGAGCACAGATGCACATATACACAGAGGCCAGCAGAGGATCAGGTATTCTGCTTTATTGTTCAGCTACTCCGTCTTACTATCTTGCAACCCTGGAGATAGCCTGACAGCCAACAAGCCCTAACAATTGTCCAGTCTCCACCCCATAGCTCTGGAGTTACAGGGAAATACTCTACCACGTCCAGTTCTTTTTACCTGGGTTCTGGGATTTGAACTCAGATCCCTGTGTTTGTACAGCAAGCAGTCTTACCCACTGAGCTACGTCCTTCGCCTTATACACAGACTGTATTTGGTTTTGTTTTCTGAGACAGGGTCTCACTATTGTAGCCCAGGCTGTCCTTGAATCTCTACCTTCTCACTCGTCTAATAACTGTGAAGTATCTCCTCGTGATTTATGATAAACACTGACTTACTGCATTTTAAATTCTTACAGGTGCTAACTTAACATTGTAAAATTTTAAGATTTATTTTTGTTATTTTTAAATTATGTGTGTATCTTCTTTGTGGAGGTATGCGCATGTCTTTGTCAGAGAGGCTGGCTCTCCTTGGAGCTTGAGTTACAGGTTGTGAGCCACTTGACTTGGGTGCTAGGAACCAAACTCAGGTGCTCTGTAAGAGAAGTATGTATTCTTAACCGCTCAGCCATCTCCAAGCCCCAACACTGTAAATTTATTAACTCAGATTATTCTGGGTTAACCTATATATTTGCTTATTATTGTGAGTATAAAAACCAGTCAACTGGGTCAGGTGGCTACAGTCAAGATGGCGGCTTCCGTCTTCACGGGTGCGGTGAGAGCCGCTTCAGGAATATTACGGCCCCTCAATGTTTTGGCATCTTCAACCTATTGGAACTATGCCAAGAATGCCTGTCTTAAGTCTACACTGTGCACCATTCATTTTAGACATATTCAGACACCAGTTGTCTCCTCTGCTCCAAGACTTGTCACATCTGTCAGAAGCCTGACACATGGGCCGACTGCAGCAGTCCTTAATAGAGTGGCCGCACTGGTTCCCAGTGTCCTGAAGCCGCCAGTCAGAACTCTAACATACTGCAGCAAACGGAAAGGCAAGAGGAAGACAGTAAAATCGGTTGTGCATCGGTTCCTGCGACTTCATTCTGGCCTTTGGTTGAGGAGAAAGGCGGGCTATAAGAAAAAATTATGGAAAAAGACAACGGCAAGAAAGAAGCGCTTGAGGGAATTTGTGTTCTGCAACAAGACCCAGAGTAAACTCCTAGATAAAATGACGACGTCTTTCTGGAAGAGGCGCAACTGGTACACTGGTGATCCTTACCAGATGTACCACGATCGAACGAACCTGCGAGTATAGTTCAGAGCTTTCCTAGGTTCCCAGCTGCGGAATGTGGATCTCTGTGTACAGGTCCTTGCAGAAGTGAGTATGTGATAAACTGTAAACTGTACCACCTGATAGACAAACAGAATAGCAGCATTGTGCTCTAAAATAAAGGTCCATGCATAAAAAAAAAAAAAAAAAACAGTCAACTGTTTCAGTGGCCTCTAGGTGACAGGTCACAATGGTGAAGTTACTTGGCCTTCCCTGATAAAGAAGTAAAATGATGAAGGACAGATGTCCCTGACCTAATTTATGAATAAGTTTAAGGAGAAGAATTTTCAGTGAATTCTGTAAAGACTTGGGTGCTCTATTCAACCTGATAATTAAGTGTCCAGTTAACGTGGGCTTTCAAAGTAATATTCGAAAGGAGGGTAACCCTAGGCAAATAGATTTCCAGGACATACGAGGGTTAGGTGGCTGACTTTTAGGGATCATTTGTACTGGGAGTGAAGAGTTCCATAATACTGCATGTATTGACTCCTAAAAGAAATGAACATTTTTTTTCTGTAAATGGGGAGGAAATGTCTTAGACTATGAAAGCACATACCCTGACTCTAAGTTCCATTGCACAAAGAAAAAAATGGAGTGAGTCAATTAAAATTTTCCATTCCATCTCATTTGAAAACTTGCCTTGTCTTCAGAGAGAGAAAGCAGAGGCCAGGCAGAAGATTTCCAGTTTAATCCCCAGAACTAGAAAATGAAAAGCATAGGAGAGTTAACTGTGACCATCACAGGCAAGCTGCACGTCCTTTGACTTTCATACCTGTGAGAACGAGTTGCAGAGTTAGTTCTGAGTTTAACCCCTGTACCACAGCTGGCTGTCACTCTAGGCCCAGGGAACCTGACGCCCACTCCTGGCCCCTGTACGCATCAGGCATGCATGTAGCACACAGACGCGCATTCACGCAAAACGTTCATAGACATAAAATAATAAACCGATTTTTAAGTTAAAATCGTATTGCATTTTGTTTAGTATGTGCGTACATGTGTGTATGTATGCACATGTATGTGAGTATATGAATGGAGCTCAGAAAGAAACTTGCCAGAATCACTTCCTTTCTTCCATATGTGTCCCAGGGATAGAACTCAATGTAGCATGATTAATAAAAACCCAGAAACAGAAATCGGAGTCAACCTGAAGGTCAGAAAAGCAAAACAGCCAGTCACTGGCTCTTACCTCTACCTCAGTCCGAAATGGCGATTCTGTCTCCAGGAATCTCAGAATGAGACTGTGTCTGTGAGCTGTCTCCTCCCGTCTTAACATGAGGGACTGCCTAGCTTTATTATAGCTTGCTATGCCATGTTCGGTGGATATCCCTGGCGGGGGGGGGGGCTGCCCTTTTCTGAAGAGAGAGGAGGAGGAATGTAATTGGGGATGAAGGAGTGTGTGTGTGTGTGTGTGTGTGTGTGTGTGTGTGTGTTGGGGGGAGGGGGGACTGGGAAGAGAGGAGGAAGGGGGAAAACTAGAAATAGCAACAACAACAGCAACAACAAAACCGCGATCCAGCCCATGTCAAGAGCCAACTGCGTTGTTCTTCTAAAGCCCCAAGCTAAAGACCCCCGAGTTCCAGAACTGTTAGCTGCGATGAACTGGACTGGGTACACTCACAGCTGCACCTAATTGCCAGAGGAGACCAGGTGTCTCTGGCTGGAGGCTCCCCATTGCTCTGACTAGAATATTGCATCTTCATGACAGTGACCCGCCTGTCCCCCGGCAAGAAGAGATGTTCATTACAGGAGGTGTCCCCACAGGGAAGAGGATGTCACAATGACTATCTCCTTCGAAAGGAAAGGAGTGTGCCATTTGTGAGAGCTGGTTCCCCATCGTGAGCTTTTTAAGGTTTCTGTGCTCTACAGCAGTGCTTCTTTGGCATTACCCAAGGGCTGGCCAGACAGCTCAGTAGATAAAGGCACCTGCCGCGAGCCTGAGGACTTTTGAGTTTGAAGCCTGGCACCCACAAGGTGGAAGGAGAGAACTGACTTCTGCACAAGGTGTCCTTTGGCCTCCTCATGCTCGTGGGGGCACATGTGCAACCCCTCCCCCACTAAATAAATATCATTAAATGTTTGAAAATATCGCACTGTGGTTGAATTACCCAGAATGCTATTAAAATAGGTTTATGGGCCCCACTGTAGATGTCCTGATTCAGCAAGTTGGGAGAGGGGGCCCAAGAATATACATAGTAAGCTTCGTTATGTGGAGCACCCGTGTGCTCCTGTTAATCCTCGTGGTACCAGACTCGTATTGGGAATTGCTAAGTGACACGGAGATAGGATGCTTATTGCAACCAGCGCAACTTTTCTCCCTGGACCAGAGTCTGCCTGGACCACGTTGCTTTACCTTCCCCAGTGAAAGATCAGCAACACCCACCCCCGAAGCAAAAGCTACAGTGGAGGATCCCTTCTATTAAAAGTGTATTCTTTATTTGTGTGTGTGTGTGTGTGTGTATGCATATGTGTGTGCAGATATTCACAGAAGCCAGAGAAGAGCCTTGGTTCCGCTGGAGCTAGAGGTGCAGGGAGTCATAAGCCTCCCGCGGTGGATGCTGGGAATCTCATGTTAGTGCTCTGAAAGCGCAGCGTGGGCCCTTGACCACCGAGCATCCTCTTCAGTCCCTTTTCTCCTTGTTAATCTCTTCCTTCTCTTTCTTTTACTTCCCAACATTAATATGCAGAAAGCAACTGCGAATAATGCGTGGAAGAACATAACTGAGCAATTGTCTTTCAGGAGTTCAAAGAAAGGCAATCAGGAAAGGCTCCGGTGGAACTAAAATGGGAGCCTGACCTTGACGAAGGGTGGTATTTGGTTAGCCAGACAACAGGGAGTCCATGTTTCAGACCGAGGCGAGGCGGCAGCGTGGGCATGGCCTCAGTTGCAGGCCAGCGGGGAGACAGACCTGCAGGATAAGATAGGGAGGTCAGAAAAGGAAGACGCTCATTCAGTAAGACATGGGAGGGTGCTGGTGGTTTTATAAAGATCTGCTTCAGGCAGGTGAGTCAGCCGGTGAATGTATGAGCTGGCTAGCCACAGAGGCCACCTCTGAGAATTCAAACCTGGACAATCCGTCACTGGCTCCTCCTTCAGCCTGAAATGTGTCTAATTCACACCCTAAGACACCCTTAGATGTTCCCACCTCAGCATGTCTAAGTTTGGTCCCATAGCATTCTGTCCTTCCTTCCTTCCTTCCTTCCTTCCTTCCTTCCTTCCTTCCTTCCTTCCTTCCTTCCTTCCTTCCTTCTTCCCTTCCTTCCTTTCTTTCCTCTCTCTCTTACTCTCTCTCTCCTTCTCTCCATCCCTCCCTCTCCCTCTTTTTTTTTTCTTTTTTTGGGAGGGTTTCGAGACAGGGTTTCTCTGTGTAACAACTCTGGTTGTCCTAGAACTCACTCTGTAGATCAGTCTGGCCTTGAACTCACAGAGATCCACCTGCCTCTACCTCCTGAGTGCTGGGATTAATTTAAAGGTGTGTGCGACGACCGCCCAGCTCTTATTTCTTTTTTAAAACAACACTGTTTCAATCTTTTCCCAGTATAATACTTTTATCGATTACTTGGTAATTTTACACAGTGCACTTTAATCACACACGATGCCCATTTCTCCCAGGTCCATCCTCCCACCCTTGTTCTCTTCCCCAAAATGAAAAACAAACACACCAAGTCTGATTTGTGTTGCTCATAAACTCACTGGGGCATGGTCAGGTTCCCAGTGGCCAACCCTTTAAAGATAACCGAGTCATGAGTGTGTGTGAGTGTGTGTGTGTGTGTGTGTGTGTGTCCATGTGTGTGTCCCACCAGATGCCATCAACTGTGAAGAGCTACAGTTCAGCATCTTTACCACAATTTTTTTTCTTTCTTTCTTTATTTATTTATTAAATATTTCAGTCTCTTCCCCACCTCCGCCTCCCCTTTCCGTCCCCCTCCCCCAATCCATTCCCCCTCCCTCGTCAGCCCAAAGAGCAATCAGGGCTCTCCGTCCTGTGGGAAGTCCGAGGAAAACCCTCCTCCGTCCAGGTCTCGTAAGGTGAGCATCCAAACTGCCTAGGCTCCCACAATTTTTTTAAAAAAAGTTTTTGTTTGAAATTTAACTTTTTATTGATTCTATGTGGATTTTACATCCTGTGTCTCAGTCTCATTCACTTTCCTGTCCCTTCCCAACTACAAGTTAGTAGTAACCTCCCACCTCCCACCCCAGGGTAAAACAAGATAAAACTGGAAAGAAAAGAGAAAGAGAAAACTCTTGTGAAGCTGTAGTAAGACACAGTGAGTCACACAGCTTTTCAGTCCATTTATTATGAGTTGCAAGTGTTCATTGCACTGAGTCATTGGTCCGGTTTGAGGTCTGCTTTTTGCTACATCATCAATACTGGGCCTTCCCCTGGGACTCCTCTCAGATATCCTGTTGTTAACCTGGGTCGTGGGGATTCTGCAGCTTTGGGCCTGCCTGCAGGAGACCAGCCCCTTCCTGTGCTCCAGCAGATCACAGGTGGGGTGGATGATGGGCTGGGCCAACTTATAGCCCTGCTTCTGGGTCTGTGGCTGGGTTGGTCAGCCTGCCAGTTCTCCCTCACCCTCAACATCAGGGTGAGCTCCCCTGCACCACCCTGGCTAGCTCACCCTATGTAGTAAGTAACAAGGGGAGGGGCCTATTCTCCTGCTCTAGTGTCCTGGATTGTCTGGCACACTCCTCCACCACCAGGTCCAGCTCTACTGTGTTGCCCAGGCAAGGTGCAGGGCTACTCTGCCCAGTGCTGCAGCTGGCGAGAGGCTTTTATCACAATTTCAAAGAACTCTCTTCAATGCTTTTTTGCCTGGACTGTTTCTTCCCGTTTGAGGGTGGTGGTGGTTGTCAGAGAAGTCTTCAATGTCTCTCATTCTCAACCACGAGTCTACCGTCATTGATACCACTACGGAAGAAGCTTCTCTGCCCATAACATCCAGAGGCAGCCCAGATCACGGATTTCCGTGTGGTTTCTAGTGTTTCTTATGCGTTCAAAAGTCACTTTCATTCTCTCTGCAAGCTCAAAGTGGTAGCTCCAGTATTAGTTTCCCAACTAGTTTTTCGAGTTTTTAGCTACATTTTGTCTGGGATGCTGGGGGCCTGTGGTGCACATGTGGATGGAGGTCAGAGAACCTGCAGTCTGTTCCCGCCTTGCACCATATGGGTTTCTGGGCTTGAACTTGGGTCATCAGACTTTACTCACGGAGCTATCCCTCTGGCTTATACCACCTCCCATTCTCTTCCCTCCGGGCCTTTCCATTCCTCCCTCAATACCTGCTCCCTACTGGGTCATCGAAACCTAAAACTAGCTTTATGGTTTTTTCCCCATTTATCTTAGTTTATAGGCATTTCCCCCCTGCTGATCAAACTCACTAGACTATACGGTGACAGATGGGTTTTCTGAATGTTGCTTCCACTCAATTGATCTCACGTGTGACTCATAGATCATCTCAGAATTACAAGCAAGATGCAGTTGTCAACGGAAGAAAGGGAGAGAGTAACACTATCCCCTACGTTCTGTGTGGAATCCATGTTTCTCAGCATGCCTCTCGGTCTTCTCCAGAGAAATACAGAGGCCAGGTTAGACCCTTCTAAGGGAGTCTGCTGCAGAGATATAGACCAGGTTAGACCCTTCTAAGGGAGTCTGCTGCAGAGATATAGACCAGGTTAGATCCTTCTATGGGAGTCTGCTGCAGAGATATAGACCAGGTTAGACCCTTCTAAGGGAGTCTGCTGCAGAGATATAGACCAGGTTAGATCCTTCTAAGGGAGTCTGCTGCAGAGATATAGACCAGGTTAGACCCTTCTAAGGGAGTCTGCTGCAGAGATATAGACCAGGTTAGACCCTTCTAAGGGAGTCTGCTGCAGAGATATATACCAGGTTAGATCCTTCTATGGGAGTCTCCTGCAGAGTACAGTTTCCCGGATCCCTGGCAGGCCACCCCGTGGTTCCCACACCATAGCATGCTCTCCTCTTCACACACTGGTGTGTGTTCATAGTTGCAGGCTATCAAGTGGTTCCCACCATCCTGGCATGAGGTTCCTACCATAGATGAATAGAAATGGATTCTTTTAAGTTAGAAGAGCCATTTGAGACAAGCATAAGCTGAGGTCAAGCTTTCATAACTAATAATAAGTTTCCATGTCATTATTTGTGAGCTGGTGGCCGACAAAAAAGTTTGCTATAAGGGTGGTGGTTTTCCTAATGAGTTTAATGGTTGCTTACATGAGTAGAGGTGAGGGGTTATGTTTTTCTTTTTTAAACATTTTTATTTATTTTTAAATTGCATTTTACATTTCAATCACAGCTTTCCCTCCCACTCCTCCTCCTTCCCACCTTCACCTCCCCCTAACCCACCCTCATCTACTCCTCCCAAAGGGTGAGGGCTCTCAAGGGGAGTCAACAAAGTCTGGCACATTAAGTTGAGGCAGGACAAAGCCCCTCCCCCTTACCTTAAGGCTGAGCATGGCATCCCACCATAGGAAATGGGCTCCAACACACTAGCTCGTGCACCAGGGAAAGATCCTCGTCCTGCTGCCAGGGGCCCCGGGTGAGGACTTATTTTCCAAAGTCTAGGTAACTTTCCAGATGAAATGTTTCCCACTCCCCCTTGCTAGCTGGTTTTGCAAACTTTGGGCAGATTGAACAGTTTCTACAAGTTTTGGGGAAATTTGGAAAACGACAGCATGGAACTTTCCTCTTGTTTCTCATCCTCTCCCACGGTGTCCTAATGTGTCCAGGACTGAGGTTTCCGGGGTCTTCATTCCAACACATCAGTTTTGTCAGTATTTAAATACCATCACAATACCAAAGCATTCAAAAACACACCAGTGGCGCTCTCTGCATTCACTGAAAACACTCCTGATCCCATGCTCGGTGCCAAACAATGCTGTAAGCGTTTGGCTCACAGCAGTGAGCAAGGCAGACTGAAGCTCAGCCCTCCGTGTGGACTTACAGATGAGAAAGCAAATAAGCAAACATACAATTTCAGAGACTGATAAGTGTTATTGTATTAATTAGGACTCCCTAGGGGAACACAATGAACAGAAAGGATATGTTGATAATTACGAGAGGAGGTTTACTGTGTCGGCTTATATGATTAGAGGCTGATGGTCCCTCAGCGGCCATCTGCATGCGCATAGCTGCTCAGCTCAGCAAGCTGGAGGCCTCAGGAAAAAGACAACCTATGACACAGTTCTGAGTTAAGGCTGAAGAGAGTGTGTCTGTCCACTCCTTAGGAAGGTCACCAGGCCCATCGCTCAGAAAGACTGCAGTTCTCTTACTATCTAGCTCCTGGCCTTCCTCCATTCCATCAGCCTTCAGCCCGCTGGATGGTGCCACCCACACTGAGGTTGAGTCTCCCCGCCCCTCAGCTACCAGTGCCAACTGCCTCTGGACACCCAGTCTGACACACACCCAGGGTGCCCTTTGCTAAATCCTAGTCATTCTTCAGTCCAATCAGATTGACAACCAGGATTAACCACAATAGCTATTGAGAAAGAAATACAAAGTATCAAGAGAGACAGCTGTGGGGGTAGTGAGTGGGGCCTCTCAACAGCGGTCATTTCCATGATATGGAAGAAGGGAGCCTTAAGAGGTCTGGGACAGCTAATGCTCCAGGCAGAGGAGGGATATTAAATGTGAAGACACGAGTTGGAGGTGAAAGCCCATGACTCCAGGCCCACAGAGGTCCGAAGAGGGAAGGGAATAGGATCTCCTGAACTTTTAAGTCTCACGGGTGCTGGGAACCAAACCCCAGACCTCTGCAAGAGCAGTAGGGCTCTTAACCACTCAGCCATCTTCCCAGCCCCTTCATTGATTTTTTTTTAAATTGGAGATATAAGTCACATGACACAATCTACTATCTTCATTAGGTTTGGGGGATTTTTTTTTTTTGTTCT